TGCTAGAGTGGGGGCTGGGGACCCAGGGTAAACGGAGCAGGGAGGCCCTGAGGGGGACACAGCCCTCAGAAAGGGCACCCTGACCTGGGATCCTGGAGGTGGTTCTGGAAGGACAGCGAGCACTTTCTGCACAAGGACACAGACACAGGAAGGGGGCGTGGTGGGGTGCAGAGAACATCCGGGCAGGCAGGTGTGGGCTGGTCAGGGAGCAGATACAGGGAAGAGACCTTGCTCCATCTGGAGGCCCTGGGAACCATTGGGGCTTCAGAGTCAAGGGCAAAGGCTGCCCCGGGGGGGGGCGGAGGGGTGGCTGCTGGCCAGGGATTCCATGAAGCCCCGTGAAATGCAGAAGCAGCCTTGGTGCCCACCGGGCTCTTAAAGGCCGGTTGACCCCCAAATCCAGCCGGTGAGGGCTCTCTCACAAGGTGAATGTTGTTCTCACCTAACATGAAATGAAGAACGTGGATGTAAAATTGAATAACACAGGATAATTCCAACTTTAACAAAAAGCAGGTAACCTAAATATGCATAGTAAAAATTGTAACAAATGCACAAAAATTGTAACAAATGCAGCAGCCGTCATAATCATGAGGCCAACACTTACTAGGAACGGCTGGCTGTCTGCCCGACCTGGGCAGAGCCCCAGCCCGAAAATCACCCTTCCGCCCTCACGCTGCGAGGGGGCGGCACCATTTCTCCCACCTGCCAGTGAAACCTGGAGCACGGAGTGCAGAGCTCGGGAGGCCTTTGCTCAGGGCCCCTCTGCTAGCGCTCCTGGGGGGCTGGGGAGCTGGGGAGCCTGAGGCCTGCACACCACACACCACGGCGGGATGTAAGATGCTTACACTCATGACGGCTTTATCAGTTTCCACAAGGTCTCTGATGAGCATTATTTTAAAGAGAAAAATATCAGAGTGTTGGCTACGCAGCAGATTCCAGCTCTCTGCTTAGTGACTGAGTGTCCCCTCCCTGGGCCTCGGTTTTCTCACGTTTTGGGTAGGAACTGTCTCCCCGCACCCCGGGATCACTGCGCAGATGAACCAGGAGGATGGACATTGCCGAGGGCTGGGCATGTGACACGGGGCCCGCCGGTAAATGTGCCTTTGCTTCTTCCTCTCTCCTCCTCCTCCCCTGCCCTCTGGCTTCCAGAGTGCTCACAACCGTTCCCAGGGTGCAGGTTAGAATGGCCACAATGTGAAGGGCCACCTGCCCTGGGGCCAGGACACCACTGACTCTAAGCGGCTGTCAGGTGGATGTGAGCACTGGACCCAGAGCCCTGGAACCCAGCGACTACTGTGTCACCTCGGGAGAGCCCAGGCCACCTCAGCCCAATTCCTTACCTATGCAACGAGGACATAAACCCTTTGCTAAGCCTGTTTAATAAATGCGGTGAACCCACAGCGAAGTGACAGTGTTCAGGCAACTATAATGAGCTGTATTCAGTCCGTTAGGTCTCCCGTGGAATGTGACACGGGCTGGGCAGGGGGGAAACCCTCACACCATACTGACGCTTACATACAGGTAGGGAAACTGAGGCCCGGAGGCCGCGGGGCAGGGACTGCGGGGTCAAGCACTGAAATGGGCCAAACCTCAGGTCTCCTCAGGGTGACCCAATGAGCCTTTTCCCAGGACAGTCCTTGTTTATAACCACTTGATCCCAAACTAACGGCCCCCTCTCAGTCTCAAAAGAGTCCCTTTTACATGTCCTCAAGGTTAATGCCGCCAGCATAAGACACGTGGGCGTCATGAACCCCGGATATAATTCACGGAGGTGGATGGTAACCTTCCCCAAATGCAAACTCCAGACTAATCAAGGGAAAACCTCAGACAATCCCAGGTGGAGAAACATTTTTTTCAAAATAACTTATCAGTACTCTAGCACAGTGGTCCTCAACCTTTTTGGCACCAGGGACCGGTGATCCTATGAGAATCTAACACCTGATGAGGGGAAGCTGAGGTGGTGATGCCGGCTGCAAATGCAGATGAAGCTTTGCTCACCTCCTGCTGTGCAGCCCAGTTCCTAACAGACCTCAGGTCTCCTCAGGGTGACCCTATGAGCCTTTTCCCAGGACAGTCCCTGTTTATAACCACTTGGTCCCAAACTAACGGCCCCCTCTCAGTCTCAAGAGTCCCTTTTACGTGTCCTCAAGGTTAGTGCCGCCAGCATAAGACACGTGGGCGTCATGAACCCCGGATATAATTCACGGAGGTGGACACGCCCACTGTGGTAACCTTGCCCCAAATGCAAACTCCAGACTAATCAAGGGAAAACCTCAGACAATCCCAGGTGGAGAAACATTTTTTTCAAAATAACTTATCAGTACTCTAGCACAGTGGTCCTCAACCTTTTTGGCACCAGGGACCGGTGATCCTATGAGAATCTAACACCTGATGACCTGAGGGGCAGCTGAGGCGGTGATGCTGGCGCTGGGGAGCGGCTGTGAATACAGATGAAGCTTCGCTCACCTCCTGCTGTGCAGCCCAGTTCCTAACAGGCTCTGAACCAGTACCTGTCCGCGGCCCGGGGCTTGGGGACCCCTGCTCTAGCATCTTCGAATGTGTCAAGGTCACAAGGAAAGACCCAGGGAAATGTCACCAACTGCAGGAGACTAAGGAGAAATCACTAAACTGCACTGTGGGACCCCAGATGGGGTGCTGGGGCAGGCTTAACACAGCAGTGGGAAAGCAGAGAATTCTGGCCAGGTCCAGCAGTGTTAATTTCCTGGCTTTGATCATGGCCCCGTTAGGGGAAGCCGGGCGAAGGGTGAGGTGAAGAGTATGTGGAAACTATACTTTTGTACTTTTCTGTAAGTTTAAAACTAGTTCAAAATAAAACGTTAAAAAGAAGCATCCTGGTTTGGACGGTAACTTGCACAATCACCTACTTCCTCCACATGACTCCTGCTCTGAGACCCAAAATGGCTACCATCCAGTTTGGGTTTTTTTTCCTATTTTTCTTTAATTGAAGTGAAATTCACATTATGAGAAATTGACCATTTTGCAAAGTACGGGATCCAGTGGCATTTAGTACTGTCCCCATGCTGTGCAAGTACCATCGATATCAACTTCTAAAACATTTCATCACCCCAAAAGAGCCCCCACACCCTCGTCCCTCACCCCCAGGGGGCTTCCTGCCTCTACAGATTTACTCTTTCTGGATGGTTCCTGGGATTGTACAATATGTGGCCTGTGGGGTCTCGCTTCTTTCACTGAGAGTGTTTTCAAGGTTTCCCCACATTACAGCATGTGCCCATACTTCTCCCCAAGGTTTTTTTTGGGGGGTCATGTCACCTTGCCACAGCACCCAGCCACTGTCCAGGAAATCCCCACAAAGGACTCGCCTGACATGCCAGCTGACCAGGCCCTAGAGCCCACCATCCAAGTCCTCCACTGTACAGAAGGGGCCCACTAGGGAGCAGGGGCTTCCCTATGAGCCAGAGCGACAGAGTAGGGTCTCAGCCCAGGGCTCTGTCCCCACCCCAGGCTGCCCCTTCCAGGGCCTGGCTGTGTGTATGCTCCACTGGGCCTAGGGGATCAGAGGGTCAGAAAACAGGGAAGCCAGATGCCCCAACGTGGGAAGAGCCAGGCAGGGAGCTTCTTGAGGCCTCCTGGAGACTGCCCAGCTCCTGAGTCGCCCTACCGGGGGACCCACAGAGCTGAGTCATGCGGGGCCAGGCTGGGCGTAGGGCAGCTGGCCTTGGCAGGCTTCAGATCTGCTCTGGGGCCCCAGGGAGGGTCGGGGAGGGCCAGGGAGCACCCATGTCTGGTAAGAGGCTCAGGACTCAGGCAGAAGGACAGAGCTACCCACATGTCCTTTACGTCTATCTCTGTCAGAGGTCACCAATTCGCTTGGTGACCCCAGGCGAATGCTCTTCTGATCCTCCTCAGTTTCCCCCTATGTCCGGTGGGTACAAGCTGCCCTGCCTGCTTCATGGGGTGGTGGGGAGGCTCAGTTGAGGACCAGATGAGGGGCTATGGGTGTGAGTATTGGGGGCTACTCACCCATTCCTTTCAGGGAAAGAAGCGGCCCCGTGGCATAGACCCGAGGCTGAGGAAACGTCAGCCAGTCGCCCGTGGGACACTAAGTGGGTGAAAATGGCTCAAGGCCTGGTGCCAAACACGGCCAAGCAGAGGGCTCAGGACCTGGGGTCCAGAGGAGGCTCTAGGCCTCTGGAAATGAGTGGCGAGGGTAGGGTGGGGCTGGGCTTGTCCTGACGGTCTTTACTTCACTTACTGTTCACAGTGGCCACAGGGGAGGGGATCAGCTGCTGCTTCGCCCTGGGCCCGAACCATGTGGCCCTCTCAGCCTCCCCGTAGACTCCTCCGAACTATTCCCATTGTCCAGGCGAGGAAACTGCCAGGGACTGGGAGTCACGAACCTTCCAGGTCTCTGTAACTCTGGGGCCCACAACGCCACCCCACCCCCTGAGCTGGGAGTGTGCTGGCCTCAGGTCTGGGCCCTACAGCCACTCATAGACTGTCACCTCACCTCCCTCAGCCTCCTCCCTCCTCCCAACAGGGCACTTGAGGCCCTTCCCAGAAGTCTGCAAGTCAGGGCAAGATCAGGCCTCAGGCTGCTCCCACCCCACCTCAGCCTTTCCACCCTCTGCCTGGTGCCAGAAGGTTCTCTCAGGGAGGACAGCCTCTCTCCAGCCCCAGGGCCAATGTCCCCGCCCCCACAGGGCAGTGGGGCAGCAGTTACAGGATCTCAGCCCCCTCTTTTCCCAAGGTGGGACCCAGAACTTGTGACGCTCCACTCTCCCGGCCTCTTGTGTCCTTGTCTGTTAAGTGGGTCTCCGGGGCCTCCCTGGAGAAGGTGACCCTCCATGTAGAAGGTGACAAAACTGCCCAAAAGCAGCACAGAGTTTCGCTCTTTCTCTGATCTGTCCGTTAAGTGGGTCTCTGGGGCCTCCCTGGAGAAGGTGACCCTCCAACTGCCCAAAAGCAGCACAAAGAGTTTCGCTCTTTCTCTGATCCCTCCCTCCCCAGACGTCCCCAGCCCCCCTGACCCCTCTCCCTGGAGCCACCACTGTCCCAGTAACAATTCACAGTAACTCCTCCTCATTATAACCTCCGTGGAGCTTTTTCACTATGAAAAAGTCTGGAAGGATCCACATCCAGCTGGTAACCCGGGAGGTCTGGGCCGAGGTGGGGCTGGGGGGATATGGGGGGGATTTGGGGGGAATTTGCTTTAGCGAGCCTGACTACTTTTTTAAACACAGAGCACATCCAGGCATTGCTCGCACAACCAAAAATAAGTAGAATAAAATACAAATAAAAGAAACCCAGATTTGAAACCAAAATAATAAAAAGACAAGACTGTGCCGAGTAAAATATGGCTCCCTCCCTGTCAGCCCGAACCCCCCACCCCGCACCCCGCTACCCCATTCAAACCCTGGCTCCACGGCTGGAGCTCTGTAACCCTGGCCAATGAAGAGTTCCCAGGTGAGCCTCCGTTTCCCCCAGTTCAAAGGGCTCCCTTCGGGGGCCCAAGGTTACCTGTGAGCTCCCTCCGGGGGTGCTGAGCAGCCACCTGGAAACGGGAAGAAGTGGCCTGCTCCCTGCCCCACCAACAGGCGGGCCACCCTCCCGCCCTTGCTCCTCAGGGCCTTCCAGGGCCAGTGCTGTTGCCCAAGAGAAGCGGCCGCCTGCTGCGAGGGGCAGGGAGGGGAGGCTCCGCCCCACAGAGACCAAGGCCCTCTGCCCACATCCTGGCAGCTCCGCCTTCTGGTTGAGGGCCGCTGTGTGCCAAGCTCCGTGGGCGGGTGCTTCTCGCACACAGCCTCCTCTGACATCCTGGCCTTACGCACGATCTTTTCCGAACAGCCTCAGTCCCAAGGGGAGGCTCAAGTCCTGCCCCTCCTGCGGTGCCAGTGGCCGGTACCAAGTACCACCGCGCCTTGGCAGGCCAGCCAGAGAGGCTCGCAGCCCGGAACAGGCCACAGACATCTGCCTGGCTGACCCCGCACTCAGCAGTATGTCCACTGCCGGAAGCCCCACGACCCATCCCACCCAGGCCCCGAGCGTCTCTGCAGGAGGGGCAGGGGACAGGCAGGTCCCACACCAGTCCCCTGTCCAGGCTCCAGCTCACCTGAGCACTGGACTGGAAACTAGGGACCTGACTTTGGGCGAATCGGCTCCCCAGTCCGGCCCGGGTTTCCTCTCCTAGAAATGAGAGTTTCCAGCGGGTCTGGAGACAGCGATCTCC